CTGTCTGTTATCATCACCTGGTAAACCTATCATTGCAATGCCCCCTGATAACCCCAGATCAATTAAATCAGTACATCTGGGGCTGGAGCCTAGGCACAGCTGCTTTGAAAAGCTCCTTGGGTGACATAAATGTGCATCCAGAGCTGAGAGCCACTACATACTAGAGCAAAAGACACTCAAGGTAGATATTTGGAACTTCTGATTTTCAGCTGAGCACAAAGTAATCATGGCTACTGGATCAATCTCCTTCATCAAAGAAAAAGCTTTTGAGAAGAGGAGAGATTTCTGTCTTCATGAGATTGGAAAGGTTAGATGCGAAGCTCCGAAAGCATCACAACCTTGTAGCAAACCTAATGGTAATAATAGTATTTAATAACTCATCTCGCAAAGATAGTTGCTCACGCTAGGAAAGGGGCTGGCTCGTCCCCACAGTCAGAAGGCATTATAAAAGCTGTGCACTCAGGGGTAACAAAGAGTGACCCCCCCACACACACACACACCTCATGTCCAGATGCCGCCATCCCCTAAGGGGAGCTCAGAGCCTTGCGCTCGCTTCTCAGCTTTGGAGCCCCAAGTTCCCAGGGTGTGTGTGTGGGACAGCAGCCTCTTATCTAGTGTTTCCCAATGTGCAAACTGATGGCGACCTGTCAGGACAGAACTCTAGGGGGCCACTGTCATGGGATGGGCAGAGCCTCAGCATCACTGCTTAACAAATGAACAGTGTGCTGGGGCCATCCTCCCACCCCAGTCAGGAAGTTGGCAGTTAGCCCGTTATAAGTGTGTTCTCAAACTGGGTCTACGGGCATAGTTCCAAGGATCCAGGATGTTTTCTCCATGAAAAAAGGATCTGAGAATTAGTGCAACGTAAGGAACATTGGAAATTCTTTTCTGCAGGAAGAGGCAACATGCTTTAGGATGTTTCTAGAGAAACAATGGCCAACCCTCATGTCCTTACACTGTAAGTGAGAGAGAGTAAGACCAAACTCTCCCTTAAAATGTGTTTTTAAAGATCAAATCGCAAAGACTGGAACCAGTTCAGCAACTGGCTTGTGAATGTGCGTATGAAAACACCACCATTATAACACTCACAGAGGGAACCTTGAGCATCCAAGCTTTGAGATATTATCCTCCCTCTCCCCAAGAAAAAGGGTGAGGGTAGAACAAAAATGAGAAGGAAAAGGCCAGGCCTTGGTATTCCCAGGGCCTATGATTATGCAGATTTGGAAGTCTGACCTACCAGGGTTTGAATTTTGACTGTATAATTTATTTGCTCCCTGGCCTTGAAAGTTAAGCTCACGATTTCAGGTTTTTCATCTGTAAAATGGACATAATAATCCTTAGCACCAATTAGGGTAAGCAGAAAGAAGGCATGGATTGTATTTAGCACAGTGCCTAGAAAACAGCCAATAATACAGCAGCTGTGATCATTAATTATTCACCCTTGAATACCCAGATAAAGCTTCACTTCCTTTGTGAAGGCTTCCTTGACAAAAATGCTTACACACACACTCAAAGTCTCTTTAGCTCCAGTACTCCTAGTACGCATCTAGCTTTTAGTCATTATATTATATTGCAATTGCTTTTTTTTTTTTTTTAATTGGGGAATTGGGGGGATGGGAACAGTGCTGGGGAATGGGGGAAGGGGAACAGACAAGTTGCTGTCGTTTTTTTTGTTCTTCAGTCTAGTTGTGGAGGACGTTGCTTCACTGGCCCAAGTTGGCACCATCATTGCGCTCTTCCTGGGCGAGGCAGATCAGTCACCGGCTTCTGGACGGCCGCTCACTGCGGCTGCTGGCCGCTCACGCTGGCTGCTGGCTACACACGGTAGCCCATGGCAACCCACTGCCACCAGGGGCTGCAGCCTACGCCGTCGCCGGCGACTCACGGCAACCCAGCTCCAGGTTGAGCTGTTGTTCAGCATCTTAGCTGTGGAGGGCAGTGTCACTGGTCCTCATATGTGGGATCCGAACCGGGGCCCTCTGGCATCCGAAGCCAGTTCTTAATCATCGCGCCACTCGGCCGGCCCTGCAATTGCTTTTTTATATGTCTGTAAAGATTTTCTTAAGAAAAGAGAGCATGCCTTTGTGTACCCAATGCTTGGCACACACTTGGTACATCATATGTATGAATGAATGAATGAATGAATGAATGAATGAATGAAGCACACAAACTACCGCACTTACCTAATAATGAGATAAAAAGCACCTTAATTAGGATGGTAGGAATGGGAAAAACAAAAGAGACATGCACAAAGAAATTGATAATAATCGTTGACCATGGGATACGAGCAGTAAAGAAAAACTGTTCTGCAGCTTTCTAATATAGTGAATTTCAGATACGGTTCATCCAGGAAGCCCTTCTCTGAGTGTTTTCAGGTATCAGGGAGGAACGCTACCACAAACACTTAGCAAAGACGTATTACTTATTTGGTTCTACCCAGTCTTCTGAGTCAAGCCCACCTAGGGGCAGATACTTCATGAACATTACTCAAGGACAAGATGAGTTCGCTGAAGGAACCTGAGTCAGATCAAGAGCCTTACTACCCTCTCCCAAGTCTTAAGAATCCTAGGCCTGCGTATGCTCTCTGCCTCTCAGTCTTTCCCATTGTCTGCATCCCGTCTGCCATACTGTCTCCTGCAGATTCTCCCTTTGGAAGCCCTCCACCTACTCCTCTGAAACTTGCCGTGTAGTCTCACCGTACATAATCTGAGTGATGTCTACCAAGTAAGCATGGGCTTGACTGTCACAGCCGCCTCCCCCCCACATCCCCTCCCCACCCCATCTCTAGAGACTAGGCCTGAGCAATCTGTTCATCCGGATTGCGCTTTAACCATTTTCGCCACCACAGGAGATAACTGGAGAAACAAAACCAAAATAAATCAGCTAAGAAAGCAGATAAGAGCGGTTTTTTTTTGGGGGGGGGAAGTGGGAGGGTTGGCCATATAGGCATAGGCAACTCCCCCTCCTGTCCGGGTGAACCAGGCTTTAATAACGGATGAGTCATCTAACAAGTCTGCATTATGGCTGACCTACACCATGAGAAGGACTGTTCAACGAGACATACGCTGACAAATGCGACATGCTTAACTCAAGTCCCCAAGTCATCTTTCACAGTCATGGGGGTTCGTCACAGGAAAAGTAGGCCCACCGAGCAAGCCACTGACTTTTATCTTTAGACTTCAACGACTATTCATCAGCATCAATATTTTAGAGCTTCATCAACTCAGCCCTGGTCTGAGTGCAGGGAAGCTGCCTCATCGCGAGGACTCACCTCGTCCTGAGAGCTGAGCACCTCCAAGATGCTGTTGAGCAACTCGACACAGAACTTTTTCTCCTGCACCTGGTGCGGCATCTCCTCCTTCTGCTCCAGCAGCTCCTTCAGCTCTTTGGTGATGACAGGAAGCAGGATGTCCCGGCATTCTGGAAGGAAGCAAGTTCAGAGGCACTTGAGCTTCCTCGTTTTCCAATTCCTTTCCTTTCTCATGTTTAGATAACTTTTCATTGAATAATTTATGAATATATTCTCCTTGTAAAAATTTAAATATTAAATTAGGGTAAGATTTCCAGAGAACATAATTCACAATTCTGGCCCCTCCCCTAAACCCTGCTCCTTAGAGGTAACCCATTAGTCTATGCATATGTATATGTATATGAGGATGCATATACAAATGTATATATGTATATAAATATAAAAATGTACCAATATAAAACCGATTAGCATCATTTGGATTTGGTCTTTCATTTAAGTCAGTCATATCATACTGTGATGATAAACCTTTAAGATCTTTTTGTTTTATGTATGTATACTGATACAGTATAAAACATACAGTGTCATTTTTGTTGTTGTTTTTTTGTTTTTTTTTTAAAGATTTCATTGGGGAACTGGAGTTGGGGAACAGTGTTAGGAATTGGGGAAGGGGAACAGCCAAGTTATCCTTCAATCTTAGTTGTGGAGGGCGCAGCTAGCTCAGCTCCAAGTCCAGTCTCCATCTGGCCGCCCATCAGCAGCTCACAGCCGCTCAGCTCAAGGTGCCATGTTCAATCTTAGTTGTGGATAAGCATAGCCCACCATCCCATGCGGGAATTGAACTGGCAACCTTGTTAGGGGCACATGTTCTCACCAGGTGACCATCTTGCCACCTGTTAGCAATTCAGCAGCAGCTCAGCTCGGGTGCAGCTCACTGGCCCACGTGGGAATCAAACCGGTGACCCTGTTGCTCAGAGCTTGCACTCTTAACTAACTGAGCCACTCGGCCAGCCCCCTGTTTTTGTTTGTCTTTCATAATAAGGAACTATGCTGAATGTATTGTTGAGTACCTTGAGTTTTTTTCACTTACCAATATTTCTTAGAGCACTTTCTAAGTTATTACATATAGGGATCAACTTAATTATGTGTACCTGTTTTATAGTATTTTCTATTATGGGTATATTTCCTTATTTAGTCTTACCTCTATTGATGGACACTTTTCACTGGCACAAACAGTACAAAAATGAACAACCTTTCACTTGCATCCTTGTGCACAATGGCTTTTATTTTAAATAAATTTTGCAGAGAGAGGTATCTCTTTTGACACTGCTATCTCAGAATACTTCTGGAAAGTTCTGAAATCCTACACAGCATTGTTTCTATATGTCTCTTGAAAATGGGAAACCCTGAGGTACCAAAAAAAAAAAATACCCCAAATTTTCAAGCCATGTCCACCCAGATGCTTCTTGAGCTGAGATGTGAATCATCTACACCAGGATATCATTTTAATTTAATACAACAAATAGATATTGAACATCTTTGATGTGAGAGGCACTGTATTTCTGGAAGTACAGAGATAATAAGCATGGTTCTTGCCCATTAGATACTTAAAATCTGACACAGGTGATTAGCAATAAAAACAATGGCAGAAGATAGAATAAGATAAAGGTGGACAGAAGCAGAGGACATCTCTTTTTCTCTCAGCCAAAGTCTATACCTTCTTCTGATACAGCCCCCTGGTTTCACTCTGGAAGCCACCCTGCTATGGGACATAATCCTGGGGGTCGTGTATAATAAGGTTCCCTGTCCTCCTTTGGACAAGGGCTGGACACCTGACCCTAATTAGGATGACCCTCAAAATTTCACTCTTGAGGAAACTTTGATAACAGTAATTGCTGACATTGTTGATAGATTGTTTACAAGGTGCCAAGCACTGTTTTAAGTGTCTTGCATGAATTGCATCAGTATCTTTACAATGACTCTAGGAAGTCGATACTATTATTTCCCCATTTCCTGATGAGGAAACTTGCCCAAGTGTACACAGCTGGTAAGCGTGGCTCCACCCTGAGGGCAGAGCCTGCACGCTCAACCAATAGATGAAGACCTTGGCTTTCTGCGCAGAAGCCCGGAGGCGGCTGCCATGGGTGCCTGCTGCTTCCTCTCCCAGGGCTGTTTCGGGTCTTTCCTTTCTGTCTGGCCCCCCAGATTTTCCTCTGATTCTATGAACTATTCCCTGTCTTCAAAATGCATTTGTTTTTACCTGACTTTACCAGAAGAGGTTTCTGTGGTTCACAACCAAAGAATCGCAGCTGGCAGAGTCATAAAATGCCTTGCGGGCTTCAGGAGGGAGACATGAGCTTGGGTTGCAAGGTTCATGGAAGACTTTACAGGCCCTGATAGAATTATGTCCCTTCTTTAGGAGCACCCATCTCAGTTTGTAATTCAATTCTAATTAGTGTAATTAATGAATGTCCATTCATCTAACCAAAGTGTAAGCTCCATGAGAGCTGTACCAAACTTCAAGTGCCTAACACAGTACCTGGATCACAGCTGCAATTCAGTAAATCTTGGTTGAGTGAATGGAAGAGGAATCATTTGAGATGATCATTAATAAGTAAATAATATTGCCATAGAAAGAGTGGGGGTTTAGAGAACAGAGAGTGATTTTGGGTACATAGATCTGGGTAGATAGAATAGTCTTTTGAAAGGAGAATAATGGGAGGTAGCACTTAAAAGGAAAGTTCTTACATGCAATGGGAGATGTTAGGTTATAGTTCTAGGCAAACAGAAAACTACAGGCAAAAAAGAAAAAAAAAACCATGATTCAGCTTTGCTCAAAATTGTAGATGAAATCATAGGCCACTCAACCATAGGTTCAAAGGTGCTTAATTTGGACTCAAAAAAATGGTTGGCCTACGGACTTGTGAGAGTACAAGGTATTGAGTTTGCCATTACCCTTTAAGTTAAATATTATGGTAATTGGTATGCAAATGTCCATATCTTGTCACCATAAAATTGACAAATATTAGTGCATATCTTGTCACCATTAAGTTGAATTTTTGTCCAGATCTATTATTTAAAAATGGTAAATAAACGTCCTTGCAATGTTCACTCTGGAGTGTGTTTTAAAAGTTATCCTCTAAAGAATGTTAACTTGTAATTTTGATATGTTTTGTTTGTTAGAGGAAATTATGTGTTAGAATGCTTGTTGTAGAAAAACTAAATGAATTCATTTGAAATTGTAGTTTGTCATTGGGAGATGAATGACCTTACCAACTGCATGAAACTTAACTTTCCAATTCTGCCTTCACTGATATTGTCATAATTAAACCCAACCAGAAAATGAGTTGTGCCTTCTCTTATTAAGTTACCTAAGGATTGAAAAGTCTCCCTTTTTGAAAACTTAAGTTTGCAACTGCTGCAAATTCGTGATTCTAACAAAGGAAATTGAAAAAGTCTTGTTCTTACAGTTCTCTGGGCAAAAGGGAGTCACCAAAAGATGTGTTTTAAGGAGATTCATGTCACTGCTGTGTACAGGGTAGCTGCAGGAGGAAAAGACCCAAGGGCAGAGAGCAGAGAATATGGCCCTGCAGTCGCCCAGGGAATAACAAAGCACTCGGTTCCACCTCTCTAGATTCCTAGCTTCTGATACAACAGTCTTGTCTTCTGTTGAAGCTATAGGGTTGATAAGACTTTAAAGGAAGGTAGTAAGAAACAGATCGAGAGCAGTCAATTGCTTTGAGTTTAAAGTAAAAGAAGACAATATTGTAAAGTCTAAAACAGCCTTTTGTGACTGAAGGTTAAAACTCCATCTGTAAAATGGGACCAGCAAGGAGATACATAAAGGTAGGTAGAAAAAGGATTAATCAGCTCAGGTAGTTAATGAAACCATTCATTCACATAGTCAGTCTGCCTACTACGTTTTTTGAGGGCTCCCCAAGAGCCAGTCCCTATTTGGGGATGGGAGGGAATGGCCAAGGTTTACCTGTGCATCACAGCCACAGAGCTAACAGAGATACGAAGCCGACTTACATGGACAAGAGAAAACCTGGTGCCTTTACCTCTTGGGAGTAGCACGCTGTTAGGACTGGCCATTAAAACACAGCTGTGGAAAAAGGTCAGGTTTTTCCTTAAGGGGTCACAGTGTTGGCATTCTAGTTCAGACACCTCAGCTAGATTCCGTTACAACGATACGAATCCAAGGGAAAGGCCAGTTGGGAGAGTTCAGACGTTAATAAAGATCTCCTTGGGAAGGTACTGGACTTTAAATCCTACTTAAAATTGGGCTAAATTAGTAACTTCTCATGGAAAAAAACTGACAGTGAAGCTTTCCACCCCTAGAAGTATTTAAGTAGTAGGTAGCTGTGGATGGTTAGGGGTGACAAGGAGGTATTCAAAGTATTCAGATGAGGGGTTGAACTGAATGACTGTGGAGCCCCACCAAAAATTCTAGGATTCCATAAAATATAGGTTCAGAGCAAGTGGCAGGAGGAAGGATACCTTTGCTAGGTGGAAAGGCAGTGGACGTGTTTGCATTGTTTACAACCCACTGAGGCAGTGGGAGGTGCAGACCAGGCCCCAGCGGAAGCGGGGGTTTCTCAGTCTGAAAGTCATCTGCTTTACAGATTAACAAACCCAGTATCCCCACAAGACAAAGGCTCTGGGTACTGACAGTCAGCAAGATTTTAGCTGAGGAAGGCATTAATAATGTAGCCTGTTTTTCAGAAAGTACTTTTGTCTCCTTGTTAACGACAATTTCTCAGAAACGTCTGGCTCCTCTGTTTTGAGATGAAATAATTTTTCTCATTTGTAATTGGAGCCGTGAAATTATATTAGTCTGTGAAGGTTCAGGAAGCAACATCTCTAAATTGTGGCTTCATTGTTAAGCAAACGAACACACATGATTTATAAGATAAATATGGCCGAGTCTTAGATCAATCTTTGTAGGCAGAGGCAAGGAGTATTAGAGACCTGCAAACCCAGCCTGGGGACCCGATGCCTGACAGAGGCTGGGAGACCTGCCATCGGGTGACAAGTCCAAATTGTAATTCAGACCAGGCACTTAGGAACCCACAGAGCTACTCAACTCAATCTTTTCATAGAAAAGAGTTCTCTTTGGTCAAAGTGACTGCAGAGGGGAAAATGCAGTGCTTCTAGGCGCTGGTTTCTTCCT